TGATGAATAGAATGGAGTCATGCAACAGGTCGATAACCTACCTCATAGATGACCTACGTCATAGATGACCTCTTTGGTGACTTATGGTAAAAACCTGTATTATTGTTCCATACCGATACATTTCTTCTTCGTTATAAATGTTCTTAAGTGAAATACGAGTGAAAAATTGTTGGAGGTATGCAAGAAATCTGCTTGGATTTTTTGAGCACAGCTTTTGATAAGTGGTAGCAGCGCTAAAGGTTTCATCTAGTAGATGACAGTTTCCTTCATGATATTATAAGATTTATTCGAAACGAGGTGAACTCTTATCGCTTTTGTAATACTTTTGTCCTGATTCGTTGAAGTAAACGAGGATTTGACTTTGCCTCAAGTCAAATACTAAATTGTCGTTCAAAATCAATAACATTTTTCAAAGAATGCAATTCCTATTTCCCACTATGACGTAGTAATTTTTGATAAAAGCTAGAGATAAACGTGTTGATTCAACTTTGATGTAATTATTTAACAAAATGATGATTGTTAATTTTCCAAAATCAATGATTACAATACGCGTTTCACCTCACAGCGTTAAAATAGGAGGTCTTTGACATGTAGTAAGATGAATGTAGTTCGAGTTCATTTATGGCCAAATTAACCTTTGGATGTATCAGAGATCGGTGAATTTGCATACGAGTAATTTGTCAAAGTAAACAGCAATGAGTTAGTAGCATATTGCTTACGACAAGTCAGATTTATAAGTTACTCGAATGCTTATGTGAAATCGATGAGGACAGTGATCATGGTACTTCTTCACATAGTGTGGTAGAATTCATCAATGCTTACTAAGCCATCATTTATCATTATTGATAATAGTGGAAAAAACTTGGCGTTTTCCCAAACGCTGTTTATGACGAAGATTATTTTGAAAAATATTTATTATTACGTCTATATTTATATGTGAATCTTTTGATCAACGTCAAAAATGCGAACATCTTGGTTTTGACAAATTCAATTACATAATTTACATGGCCTGCCACAGTACTCGATCTTCTGAGTATCACTGTAGAAAGAACTGTCACAAAAGCCGTTTCTAATCCAGTCATCACAGCTAAAATTATTCTACCTCAATCATCCTTCAAAAATAAGATTCTAATGAATGATATAAAGAATATTGAATGGAAGCAACAACCTTGAATGCGATCCACATCTGACTGAACCTGGAAAATCGAAAATAAGAAAGCAGCATTTGTTCGGATTATTTATGTCCTCTTTATGATAAGGTATTTTATTTTCTTTCAACGTCATTGGTACGAATGCTATAACATTTATATGCCTCGATGCAGAGGTAGCACAAATTGTGGAAGTTGACCCTCATCCTTCGGATTTGTGATATCTTGTTGAACCGCTCACACTACCGAGAACTACCGTTATATAACAACTCAAACGTTTCACTGATATTACTAGCACTCGCCCATAACAGTCTCAGATCAGTAGTGACCCCATACACAATTAGAATGATAACGACCGGATGTAAACTTCATATGAAAAAGATTCTCTTTCAAATATCGATTCTTCTCTATCCACTTTTACGTCTATAATGGAATAACAGTTGTATTGTGGAACAAGTTAGTGCATTCGGATGTACTAAAGCTTAGAGTCCTAACGCCTGAATATGTGAAATGCTGCAGAGAAGCGGCGAAAGTAGATCACGAGAGAGAAGAACAGAATTGTTGAATGAAGCATCTGAGAGTTGCAAAAGCATTCACAATGCCCATGAAGATGACTGCTCTCCAATGCCAGAATGCAACACTTACATTTTACAGAATGGTAAAGGAGAAAATCACGATAGCTTCAATCAACTACCTTAATGTAAACAAAGGGAAAACGACTTTGTTATTTTGAAACCCCCCTCTTCTAAAATCCAACGTGTTATTCTGTCGGTTTGGAATCATACATCTTCCAGCCCATACAGGATTAGATTGGAACATCTGAAGAATCTACGACCGGCTGTGATTAGAACGATGGCTCGACTTTTCACACAGTGCCTGTTAGAATACAAAGTTTTAAATGAGTGAGAAAATAGCAGTACCAGGACCGTGCTGTTGCACAAAAAGGGAGACGATCACGGCATTGGTAATTATTGCTCTAATTTGCATGTTGTCCGTTGTAAATAAGCTTTTCACACTACTCTTCTCTAACAGAATTTGGAAAACTTTAGACGAAAGACAACCTCGTGAGCAAGCAGTGATCCAAAAAGGAGACATTCAACCACCTTTACTGTA